TTTTCTTCAACAACTATAATCTCCAGGGTAAGTTTAGTTCCATTCTAAAACCATTTCTGCAGGCCGGTCTTCCCTGACCTGCCCTCCCTGCCCCACAGTCTATGCCAGACCCTCTTTCACTTGCTCTCCAAGCACACTGAATATTTCTTCTGTATTCTTCAGAAATCCTGGTCTCTTACACCTCTTGGGTTCATTGTTCTTAGGTGGACAGTAGATCCAACAGGGCTAAGTCTCCAGCCTTTCTCTTAGTATCGGAGCACTTAGCTCAGAGCCTGGCACATACGAGGGCCTCAGTAAATGCACATGGGATGATTGAAAAACTTTAAGTAAACTAATCAAACCCTCTGAGATACTGAGAACTGTCATTTGATTTTAGTTCAGAGTATTTTGTATTGGGCTGTGCTTGTTTGAGTTGTAACCCTCAAGAAGGTTTTCTCTGTATCTGTGTGTGTGTGTGTGTGTGTGTGTATATATATATATGTATGTATATATTTGCCATCCCTTCTTTTTTCTTAAATTCTACCTAGGTAGAAAACTGAGATGGTTTTAAGAGTGAAACACACTCTACCCTACATTTCTTTAGCTTTTGCATTTGACAAAAGGGATGGAGTTCTAGAGGGTAGACCTTCTAGAGGCAGTAAATGCTCAACTATTTACTAAGTGTGTGACCTTGAGGAAGTTACCTGACCTCCTTGTGACCTCCTTTCTTACTCCCTGGGTTCTTCATCTGTAGAAAGATGTCACTAACACCTACCTGTGTCACATGTATAGTGTATGCGCAGGATCTGACACAAGGCCTGGCAATAGTAGAGGTCCCTTATTTGTTTAACAGGTATTTTTTTGTGTGCACTCAGAAACGGGACAGGTACTGTTTGGGGCACTGAGGATACAGCAGTAAATGCATCAGACAGATCCGGTGCTCGGGGGCTCACATTCTAGGGCAGGGGGGAGGTAAGTGTTGGTGGGGGAAAAGACAGGAAAGATAAAGCCAGATAAGAGCATAAAGATAAATGGGGTAGAAGTGGTGGTGTTTTAGCTGTGGGGATCAGAGAAGACGCCCATAAGGTGAATAAGAGTAGGAGTCAAAGATATTCATTCCTTTATTCCTTTGCTCCTCTGCAGGGAGAAATCCTACTTCCCATGGTTACTAGGGAAAATGCCTCACTCTAACTCATTTCTGTCTGGGTGGGAGCAGTGCCAACAGAAATAAGAGGTGGGTTTCAAGGGGCACTGGCCTTGATAGGCATATGTCATTCCACCCGGGGAGTCCAATGCAAGGTCTTGATGGGTTCTTTATTCCCTAATAGTTGATATGCAAACTAGACTAGGCACTGAGAAATGCTTCTGTGTGGCCGGGCATGGTGGCTCATGCCTGTAATCCCAGCACTTTGGGAGGCTGAGGCGGGCAGATCACCTGAAGTCAGGAGTTGGAGACCAGACTGGCCAATGTGGCGACACCCCGTCTCTACTAAAAATACAACATTTGCTGGACGTGGTGGCACACACCTGTAATCCCAGCTACTCGAGAGGATGAGGCATAAGAGTCTCTTGAACCCGGAAGGCAGACGTTGCAGTGAGCCAAGATGGTGCCACTGTGTGACAGCCTGGATGACAGAGTAAGACTCTGTCTCAAAAAGAAAAAAGAAAAAAGAAATGCTTCTGTGTAATGGAACTTCTGCTTGGGGAGCAATAGGTAAAAATAAAACCCTAGGAAATCCCCAGGTCTCTCTCAATGGGTTTGAGGTAAGAGTTGGCAGGTTAGTTTCGCCTCTGCCTGCCTGTGGGCAGAAAACCAAATGAATCAAAAGGCAGCCAGAATGGAATAACTAGCACCTTAAGATGCCACCAGGAAACCTTGAGGGTTACGCAGGCCCTCAGGATCTAAGGAGACAATATGACTAATTTGTGCCCTACACTTAGCTGCCTGTCTTCCCACACTTGTGGCTTCCCCTGAAAGAGCAGGGATGGCTGTGTTGAGTTGTTGCCCTGCAAGGTTGGACTTGAATAAAATTCAAAACGCTCCACATCTTTGGGACTTAATAATTTTTCTGAAGTAAGCTCCGTACACTTTCTCCTGTATAGTCAGTGGGAGGGAATGAGGAAGAAATAGACATGTCTCCCTCCAAGAACTCAGACACATTGCACAGCATTAATAGACCCAGACAAAAGGATTCTCCTTCTTTCTCCAGAATACATCTTCAGCTGCACAGCTTGCAGCCACGAGAAGGTGGGTTTCTGTTGTGGAGAGAGACACATTTGGCTGACTAGGGGTACCGAGAATTGTCAACCTATAAATAAAGCATTCAGTCAGAAATGGTTAAACTGAGCAAAGCAGCTGAGAAATTAGTCAGGGTGTTACTAGGTTAAGATTTAAAGAGCTGTGGCTCACACCTGTAATCCCAGCACTTTGGGAGGCCAAGGTGGGTGGATCACCTAAGGTCAGGAGTTCGAGACCAGCCTGCCCAACGTGGTGAATCCCCCTCTCTGCTAAAAATACAAAAATTAGCCAAGCATGGTGGCACATGCCTGTAATCCCAACAATTCGGGAGGCTGAGGCAGGAGAATCGCTGGAACCTGGGAAGTAGAGGTTGCAGTGAGCTGAGATTGTGCCACTGCACTCTAGCCTGAGTGACAGAGGAAGAGTCTATCTTAAAAAAAAAAAAAAGAAAAAGAAAAATTAAAGAGCAAAGTAAGGTATGGTGACCTGTGCCCGTAGTGCCAGCTACTCTGGAGGCTGACATGGGAGGATGGTTTGAGCCCAAGAGTTTGAGACCAGCCTGGGCAGTATAGCAAGACCCCATCTCTAAAATAAAATTAAATTTAAAATTTAAAATATTTATGGAGCTGAGGGTTTTTACAAGCATTTTACCAACTTACAGGTTCTTACAGTTTAGTAGCTCCAACACAGGCAGAGGGCAGATGCACAAGAATCGCTGCCTCTCACAAGGCTGCGGAGAATTTCAACACTGGGTGCATCTGCTCCTGAGGCCAGTCCCTTAGCAGGGAAATCATACACTTCTTTCAGATGCCTAAAAGTATCAAACACAAATATTTATGCATCCAGGTATTAAAATTCATCAAAGGACCTTTCGAGTCGTTATAGCAGCTGCTGTTGTTCTGTTCTACTCTAAGTTTCAGGAGCATAACGAGTATGTCCCGGACCCAGCCAATTCCCTAGACCACCCAATGTACCCCCAATAGCCAAATGTCCACTCTTGGGGTATGGCCAGTGAGATTCTCAACTAACTTTCTCCTATGTCTTAACACAAGACTTTCTATCCCTCTTTTTTTTTTTTTTTTTGAGATGGGATCTCACTCTGTCACCCAGGCTGAGTGCAGTGGGCGATCTCAGCTGACTGCAACCCTCTGCCTCCCAGGTTCAAGCCAGTCTCCTGCCTCAGCCTCCCGAGTACCTGGATTTACAGGTGTGCGCCACCATTGCCCGGCAATATTTGATAATTTTAGTAGAGTGGGGTTTCACCATGTTGGCCAGATGTCTGAACCTGACCTCAGTGTTTGCCTGCCTCAGCCTCCTGAAGTGCTGGATTACAGTGGAAGCCCACATGCCCGGCTTGTATTCTCCCATTTTAGATATGGGGCCCTCCTCCTTAATTCAAAGGGAAATGACTAAGAGGTTATAACCAGTGGAAAGAGAAACTGGAATGTTAAAGGATAGAAACATCAGTACTCGAAGTATCCAACAATGCCTCCAAACTGATTTATAATCCCGAGTCACACATTTCTGCTAGCATGATCTAACAGAAAGCCAACATTTTTTTTAGTCTAGAATCAGGGCTTCAACTGGACAGACCATTCAATACATTGAATATATGTTTTTTTTTATGTATATACTTTTTTTCTCTTTTTTTTTTTTGAGACAGAGTCTCACTCTGTTTTTTTTTATGGAGTGCAATGGCACAATCTCAGCTCACTGCAACCTCCACCTCCAGGTTCAAGCAATTCTCCTGCCTCAGCCTCCTGGGATTACAGGCATGCGCCACCACATCCGGCTCATTGCCTGGCTAATTTTGTATTTTTAATAGGGACAGGGTTTTGCCATGTTGGCCAGGCTTGTCTTAAACCCCTGGCCTCAAGTCATCCTCCCACCTCATCCTCCCAACGTGCTGAGATTACAAGGGTGAGCCACCATGCCAGGTCACACTGAGTATATTTTAATGTATATTTAATATATTGCTTTTTTTTTTTTACCTAGATTTAGACATTTTAAAAAGATGCTCTCAAAAGGCATATGAAGACTATTTTTTTTTATTTATATAGAGACAATCTCTAGAAAGATGTAAACCCCTAGTACCCAGGGTTGTTTTTTTTGAGTGCAGCTGGGTGCCTGGGGAACGGAGGGGAAGACAGTATGGAGTTTTTTTTTTTTTTTATGAATCTTTTGACTTTTGCACTGTGTGTATGTATTACCTACTCAAAATTAAGTTTTTTTTTTTGTTTTGTTTTGTTTTGAGATGGAGTCTTGCTCTGTTGCCCAGGCTAGAGTTTTTTTTTGTGATCTTGGCTCACTGCAACCTCCACCTCCCGGGTTAAAGGGATTCTCCTACCTCAGCCTCGCAAGTAGCTGGGATTACATGAGTGCGCCACCACCATGCCCAGCTAAGTTTGTTTTTTTTGTACAGACGGGGTTTCATGTTGGCCAGGCTGGTCTTGAACTCCTGACCTCTGGTCATCCACCTGCCTCGGCCTCCCAAAGTGCTGGGATTACAGGTTTGAACCACTGTGCCTGGTTTTTTTTGGCAATTTTTAAATTATATGTGAAGAAAAATCTGTAAATGTTTTTGTCATAACTTTTTTTTCCCAACCCACCACCACCATTTTTTCCTGTAAAAATTTTTTCAAGGCCTGAGGATTTTTTTTAATTAAACTTTTCCTGACAGGAAAGACAACATCTGAAAACTCTGCCTGACGGATTTTTTTTAGCATCCTGGCAAGAGACACGGAGCTGACGGACAAAGAGATGCACGCCTGACATTTTTTTTACTGTTCACCCAAAGTAAGCCAAAGCGAAAGGCCAAGCACCTTGAGAATCTCTTCCTTCTTACTGTCAACGGATTCACCTAATCAAAACACCTTTTAGTCACTGCACCCAATTTCCATCTTCATCCAACACATGGTGGGGTCTTTTTGTCGCTTCTTCTGAGTTGACACACACAATTTTTTTTAGTCCCACTTTTGGCGAGGAACACGTTGCTGTCAGGTTGCATTTTTTACCGCACATTGGTTCCCCGTGTCCCAGTAATGACCCCCTGTAAAGGCCACTGGGCCAGAGAATTGCATTTTTTTTCGAGGCGACAGGAATTACAGGAAAGGATTAACGGCAGAACAGCCTGTTGCGACAGCGGAAAAACAGCCCGAGGACAGGGGTGTGCTCCCATCTGACAGACGGAAGTGGGCCGGGGTTTATGTATTAGGTCACAGCAAGAAAGCTATTTTTGCTGTGCTCTCTGACCTTCTGTAGATTTTTTTTCTCAAGATGCCTATGATATACCCCAGGCTGCTCTGACTCAAGAGGGAAGAGCATTTTTTTTCTAGTGCAGAGTCCTGTAGAGTTTGGAATCCATCATTCCCAGCAGGACAAAAGTTTTTTTTTGGGTGTTGCCATCCACTGGGTGCGTGTGTTGGCGGCGGGGAGTCATTTACTAAGCAGATGCAGCCTTTCTGTTCCTCCTTCCTCAAACTCCAATTTTAAAAATAGCTAGTCCGGGCACAGTGGCTCATGTCTGTAATCCCAGCACTTCGGGAGGCCAAAATGGGAGGATCTCTTTTTTTTTTGAATTTGAGACCAGCCTGGGCAACATCACGAAATCCTGTGTCTACAAAAAATACAAAGATTCGTTGGGCATGGTTGTGAGAACCTGTAGTCCCAGCTACTTGGGGGACTGAGGTGGAAGGATCACTTGAACCCAAGAGGTTGAGGCTGCAGCGAGCTGTGACTGCACCACTGCTCTTTTTTTTGGGCAACAGAGTGAGACCCTGTCTTGAAAAAAAAAAAAAAAAAAAGCTAATGGTTTTTTTTGCTTTAGAGTCCTAAAAAGCTGGCAATGAAAGGAAACATGGTGCTAATGGCAGTTTTTTTTAGTAGCAGTAGTTTCCCACAAAAGTGCTGTGATATACGGAGACTTTGAGGAGTCACAGTGTAACCTTGGCTAAAGAGATTAGGAAAGAGTCCGTGGAAGAGGGGCTGAGCATTGTTCAATTTGTCGAGTAAACCCAAAAAGCAGTGCACTGAGATCAGGCCAAGTAAGAGATATCTTTTTTTTAAACACTAAACACTTCTATCACTCCCTTACATTTGGTAGAAGATTGTTGGAATCACCACTCTCCACAAACAGTCAGAAAAACTGGAACCAGATGGTATCTCTAAAAAAATGTGGCCCACAGCCATGAATGTGGGACTTGCATTCTCTTTCAGAATAAGAATAGATGATGTAGACATTTTTTTTTTGGACTGGCTCAGAGAGAAAAGAAACCAATAGATGGGAGTACGTGCCAAGGGTCGCTGACGCTTCCAGAGGGCAGTGGCCTCGGCCGTCTTACTCAGAGCTGAATTCTGAGCCTTTTTTTTACTCATGTCTGGCATGTAACAAGTGCACAGCCAGTTTTCCTCCCGTGAATGAGGGGCTGTCTCAGAATAAGGTTTTGTAATCAGAGACCAAGACAGCCACTGATTCTCTGCAGCTTTTTTTTCTGTCTTTTCTGAATGTCCAGACAGAGGACGAGTCTTGATTATAATGATCATTTTTTTTTTGTACTGCCCAGTTCTGAACCCAAGGATAAGAATCCCCCCCAAGGTCCTGCCAGTTTTTTTTCACACTCTGACGTCACATCCTGCCTCTTTGATTAGGTTTCAGCGTGAATTTTGTTTTTTTTAAACACACTTTGTTAATCTCTTTTAGGTCTGGGAATTCAGCCCAAAATTCCTGTTTTTTTTATTCCTTTTCCTCAGCCAGGTTGACAGTTGGGGAAACATCGCCCTCTTGTGTCTTTTTTTTATTTGGCAAGGTAGTTTCCAGCAGTTGCTAAGGCACACAGCAAATTGAAGCCTTTTTTTTTCCCTTAAGCCTGCAGACCTCAGTACAAGGCAGATGGAGAACAAACATACCAATTTTTTTTTAATAGTCAAGAACATCCAGAAGAATCCAGAATTTGTGAAGATGGTACTGATAATTTTTTTTCCCAGAGTTTTGAAAGTTAAAAAATGTATAAGGCACCATAAAAGTCATATTCATTTTTTTTCAGAAAATGTTTACCTTCTAAAAGAGCTGGACATTTTCCATAAACCGAAAGTTTTTTTTTTCAGTAGATACATGAAGATGTCCTCCTAGCATTTTCATATTCGACCTGTTGACTTTTTTTTTACCTTTCATATCCTCTTCCATGTTGCCCATCCACACACCCACACCCACACCCATTTTTTTTCCCACACAAGCCGTGTGTGCAAATATGCCCACCTGCAGGGTCTTCTGTTCTCATTTTTTTTTTCAGACTGCTCTGCTTGCTCCTACACCTTCTTATGGAGATACAAGAACTTTGGATCTCTGACCTCCATCAGTCCTCACTCCTCCATCCCTGTAAACAGGTGCAAGGCGTGTTTCTGGCACACCAAACAGATTCCACCAAACACCTGAATCTGAAGCTCTCACAGTCACTGACCCGAGTGTGGCCTGGATGAGACTGGTGGCCCAAGCTTCTATTATACTGTTTTTTTTGTTGTTGTTTTTTTTTTGTTTGTTTGTTTTGAGATGGAGTCTTACTCTGTTACCCAGGCTGGAGGCCATTTTTTTTATCTCAGCTTGCTGCAGCCTCTGCCTCCAAGGTTCAAGCAATTCTCCTGCCTCTTTTTTTTTAGTAGCTGGGACTACAGGCACGTGCCACCACACCTGGTTAATTTTTGTACTTTTTTTTTTGACAGGGTTTCACCATGTTGGCCAGGATGGTCTTGATCTCCTGACCTCATGATCTGCCCGCCTTGGCCTCCCAAAGTGCTGGGATTTCAGGCATGAGCCACCATGCCCAGCCTTTTTTTTTTTTTAAAAGCCAAGGCACTAGAATAAAAGATACTTTCACATTGACACTATAAAATTTTTTTTTTGAACACTTAGTTATGTATTGTTCTGGGTTAGGTAGTATAGATAAAGACATATTTTTTTTAGTAGGAAGGGACTCCCTTCATCTATGTACATTTTATGCCTCTATCTCTCATATTTTTTTTCCTTACCTTCCGAAAACTGCCATCAGGGCCTCTGCAGGAGGCCCTGGCTGTGATTTTTTTTCATCTGTAGAGTGCACAACCTGAACATCCTTACCAAGCAGCCCTGACCAATATCTTCCTGCCTAAAGAGTGCTAATGCTCAGAGTATGCCTTTAAAACCCCATTTTGGCCATTTCTCAAGAAGTGAGACTTGTACTTCCCCACCTCCCCTTAAGGATCCCCAGTGCATTAGTGGTTTTTTTTTCCCTAAGGACTTTTGTGTGCCTCTCCACCCTCTGTTCTTCTAGGTGCATCCTGTTTTTTTTGGGGCATAATCCCCTACCTCAAAAGAGCAAAGCTCCACTGGCAAACCTCTAGATTTTTTTTGTGATCAGCAAGTAAGGGGGACATTTGGTGTAGCATCACATTTCTGGCATCCCTTTTTTTTTTTTATGTCTGACTCTGTCATCTCTGCTAAAAGAGGCCTCTTTGTTTATTTCCTTTTTTTTCTTCTAATTAGTTTTGTTGTTTTTGTGTTGTCCTTTGTTTTTTTTTGGAGACGGGGTCTCCGCTCTGTCGCGCCTGGCTGGAGTGCAGGTGGACCGGAATTCAAGCTTCACTGCAGCTCCGCCTCCCGGGTTTTACGCCATTCTCCTTGCCTTCAGCTCCCGGAGTAGCTGGTACTACAGGGCCCGCCCACCTGCGCCCTGGGCTAAGTTTTTTGTATGTTTTGTAGGTAGAGGACGGGGGTCCACTGTTTAGCACCAGGATGGGTCTCATCTCCTTGACCTCGCGTGAATCCGCCCGCGTTCTCGGCCCTCCAATAGTGCTGGGATTACAGGCTTGAGCACCGGCGCCCGGCCTGGTGTTTTTTGTTGACCAGGGCCCTAGTTGGTCTTCCACGGCTGGGCTCAAACTTCTGGACTCAAGGGATCTCTCCCACCTCAGCCTCGCCAAACTGTCTGGGATTACAGGCGTTGAGCCACTGGCCGGCGTCACTCTTGTTTTTGTTGTTTTTGAGACGAAGTCTCAACTCTCTGTTCGCCCAGGCTGGAGTGTGGTGGCGGCCATCCTCGGGCTCGACCGCAATGTCCACCTCCCGCGGTTCACCACATTCTCTTCGCCTCAGCTCCCGAGTACGGCTGGACCCTCAGGCTCCACACCAGGCCTGGCTAGAATCGTTTTTTATTTTTTAGTAGAGACGAGTCTCACCATGTTAGTCCAAGGATGCGGGCTCCGATCATGCTGACCTCCATGACCGCCCGCCTCACCCTCCCAACGTGCGCTGGGATTACAGGAGTGAGCCCACTGCGCCCGCCCTCTGGCCTCGTGTCTTCTTCTCAATTCGGCGTATCATCCACCGACCGAAACACTACTCGGATCCAGCAGCAGGAAATAAATCTGGACTTTTGCCTCTCTAACGGTCTTTCCCTTGCAGCGTGTTCATATTATGTCTAACTGTACGTAGTGAGGAATAGATGTTGCTCTGACCTACATTCATTTTCCATAAATGTTTTTCTTGATCTTCCCATTAGAGTACATTGCCAGACCGTAAGGGTACAAGGGTTCAGGGCTGCCAGAACTTGGGTTGCTTGAGATTTGGATGCAAAAGAGATTTAGATTAAAAACATAAAATCTCTGTCGGGTGCAGTGACTCACACCTGCAATCCCAGCACTTTGGGAGGCTGAGGTGGGCGGATCACGAGTCAGGAGTTCGAGACCATCCTGGCTAACATGGGTGAAATCGTGTCTCTCATACTAAAACAATACAAAAAAAAAAAATACACAATTAGCCGGCATCCCAGTCTACTCAGGAGGCTGAGGCAGGAGAATTGGAGTGACACCCGGGAGGCGAGACCTGTAGTGAGCCGAGATCGAGCCTTGCAGTGAGCTGGAGATCGTGCCACTGCACCCAGCCTGGGTGACAGAGCGAGACTCCTTCTCAAAAAAAAAAAAAGGAAAAGAACATAAAATCTCGCTCAGTTGTCTCCAGGCTAGTTCCCACACTGTGCAGCACCCAATTGGATCAGTATGATTGGTGTTTCCAAGTGATTCCGAAGATGCTTCCCTTTGTCTGGGGCATGAGAATGGGCTCTTCTTGGGTGGAGAGAGAAGTCTAAACATAACCGGCCGTCACTTGCTTCCACTCTAGTCTGGATCCTATCACAACATCAAAACTAAATCTAGTCCAACCTGACCTGCCCTCCACCTGCTTCCTGGGTTTCCTCCCACTACTCTGGCTCACCTCTTGGGACTCCAGAGGAGGCTCCTCCTCCTTGTCCCTTTTCTGGGTCCCAGGGCCAACCTACCAACAGCCTATTTGATATCTCCATGTAGATGACTCACAGGTACTTCCAATTCAACCTGACTGAACCTTTTCAACAGTATATTTATTTCTTTATTTATTTTGAGATGGAGTTTTTGCTCTTGTCGTCCAGGCTGGAGTACAGTGGCATGGTCTCAGCTCACCGCAACCTCTGCCTCCCAGGTTCAAGTGATTCTCCTGCCTCATCCTCCCAAGTAGCTGGGATTACAGGTGCCCGCCACCATGCCCGGTTAATTTTTGTAATTTTAGTAGAGACGGGATTTCACCATGTTGGCCAACCTGGTCTCGAACTCCTGACCTCAAGTGATTCGCCTGCGTCAGCCTCCCAAGTAGCTGGGATTACAGACGTGAGCCACCATGCCTGGCCGACCTGATTGAACCTTAAGTTACAACCTTGCTACAACCCAAATAACCCAGCAACCAAGCTGCTCCTCCGACCACCTGGTCACTCAGACCAGAACCTGGAGCAATTTTTGATTGTTCCCCTCCCCCACCTTCCTTATCCAATCAATTGTTATATCCTTTCTAAATACATGTCAAATCCATCCTTTCTTTCTGAAACCACCTTTGCAAAATTGAGATTGAGATCTAACTTAACCAGCTCCATCTTGTTTCTACCCTCCAAGCTGTCCTTGTTCATTCCTGGGCATAGGCTGAACTAACTTTGGGAGAAATTTAGTTTATAGTTTATAGCTTCAACAAAGATGGTAACAGTCCTTTCCCAAAACAGATCTCCTTCTGGTCTGGGGACTAGACTGCCTTTGTAGGACTAACATTAGCCACAAGATTAGAAATTACGGTTTAGGAGTCATGAAGCTGGTGGCCAAACTGCTCCTAGGATCAGTGCTTGAAATATTTTGCAGACCTGCACTTGAAGGATCAGCTGGCACCATCCAGATCAATAAACTGGCTCATCTGATCTTGGCCCCCCACCTAAGAACTGACTCAGCGCAAGAAGACAGCTTCGACGCTCTGTGATTTCGTCATAGAGTATGACCAGTCAGTACTCCTGGCTTCCTCCCACCCACCAAGTTAGCCTTAAAAATTCTGCTTCCCGAATGCTAGGGGAGACTGATTTGAGTCATAATAAAACTCTAATCTCCTGCTCAGCTGGCTTTGCGTGAATTACTCTTTATCTATCGCAATTCACCTGTCTTGATGAATTAGCTCTACCTAGGCAGCAGGCAAAGTAAACTCTGTGGGTGGTTTACATTTCCACCTCCATTGCTACATCTAGATCCAGCATCACCACCCCCCTGCCTGTTACAGCAGCTTCCTCCCTCGTCTCCCTGTCTTCATATTCATCCTTTTCCAACCCCCTTCCACACTGCAGCAAAGGAAACCCCCACTCTCCCACTTAAAGCATAGTCACTCAATCCAGGGGAAAGTCCAGAGTTACTTGCAAGTCCTACATTGCTGGGCAAGACCTGCCTCCCTCACTCCCAAAGCCTCCTTGTAAGCAATTGCCCCTTCTGTCTTCACAGCCCACACGCTCTGGCTTTCTTTCGATTCTTGGAATTCCAGGATGCCTTCCTTCCTCAGCAGCACTGCACTTGTTCTAGGCTTTCCCTGGAATGTTCTTGTTCCCCTGCTTTCATGGCCAGCTCCTATTCAGACTTCAACTCTTAGCCATATTCTCCGAGCACACCTTCCCCACCCCACATACTAGGTCAAGACCCCTCTGCTGTAAGCTTCTCCTTCACAATGCCTTCGACCATTATAACCAGGATATAGGTTTTGTTCTTCATTACCACAACTGCCTTCCAAGAAGGGTGAAATCTATACAGCTTTCGATTTTTTTTTTTTTTTTTGAAACAGAGTCTGGCTCTGTCACCCAGGCTGGAGTACAGTGGCACGATCTCTGCTCACTGCAACCTCCGCCTCCCAGGTTCAAGCGATTCTCATGCCTCAGCCTCCCAAGCAGCTGGGACTACAGGCGTGTGCCACCACACCTGGCTAATTTTTGTATTTTTAGTAGAGATGGGGTTTCACCGTGTTGGCCAGACAGGTCTCAAACTGCTGACCTCAAGTGATCCATCTGCCTCAGCCTATCAAAGTGCTGAGATTACAGGTGTTAGCCACCGTGCCTGGCCTGACACCTATACAATTGAAGGAACTTTTGGCTGCTCGACATCTTAAGGAGGCTCATTGTGAAAATTTATGGGAAAACTAAAATGTTCTAGCAAATAGAGCAGCAGGAAAACAGCAACAGCAACAACAATAGTGGAGTTCTTGGAGCAATCCCAGAATCAGGAGTGAAGTGGGGAGGTGGGCTGAGTGCTGAGGGATTGAAGGCTATAGAGAGGTCTCAAGTGACATGACTGGGAAGGGCTTTGGAAGAACAGAGTTAACATTTAAAATAGAGAGTTCGGGCTGGGCACGGTGGCTTGCGCCTATAATCGCAGCACTTCTGGAGGCCGAGGCAGGCGGATCACCTGAGGTCAGGAGTTTGAGACCAGCCTGGCCAACATGGCGAAGCCCCGTCTCTACTGAAAATATAAAAATCATCTGGGTGTGGTGGCGTGTGCCTATAATCCCAGCTACTTGGGAGGCTGAGGCAGGAGAATCGCTTACTTGAACTGGGAGGCAGAGGTTTCAATGAGCTAAGATCATGCCCCGGAGCTCCAGCCTGGGTGACAGAGTGAGACTCTGTCAATAATAATAATAATCATATTACTAGTAATAGTAACAAAATAGAGAGCTTTATTTACCCAGGACTCTGTAAAAGATCCACTTGTCTATATGAAAGACTTATTACTGGCTAAGTCAACTCATTAAACTTGAGGCCATGAAGAATTTTTCTTCTGAGGAACACGAACATATTTGGCAAGAGAAACGTCTGTGGCAGCTGACAAGTTCGAGACAGAATCTGGAGTGGTGGGTCCGCTCTATCTGACTGCCCCACCTGCAAGGGTCCACCACAGCAGATATGGGGGCAAAGTGGAGCACCCAACAAGAAGTGAGAGAAAGAGCGGGGGGCGATGATGAGGAAGGGGCCAGGATGAAGAGGGAAGGCAGGCTGGGCTCCTGCCTGTGCTCCTCTTTCCTCAGAAAGAGCTGAACCCTAGGCTCAGAGCAAAAGCTGTGGGTAGAACCTTGGAAATTCCCCAAAGTCAATCATTAGCTGAAAATCCATACGATATTCCCAAAGAGGTGCAATTAAAAGATATTTATAGGCCAGGCGTGGTGGCTATTTATAGGCCAGAACTTTGAGAGGCCAAGGTGGGTGGATCACCTAAAGTCAGGAGTTCCAGACCAGCCTGGCCAACATGGTGAAATCCCATCTCTACTAAAAACACAAAAAAATTAGCCAGGTGTGGTGACAGGTGCCTGTAATCCCAGCAACTCGGAGGTTGAGGCAGGAGAATCACTTAAGCTCGGGAGGCAGAGGTTGAACTGAGCTGAGATCACGCCACTGCACTCCAGTCTGGGAGACAGAGCAGGACTTCATCTCCAAAAAAAAAAAAAAATTTATAGCTAATCAGCATCTTCCCAGGGGCACCCAATGGGATAAACTCTAGACCCATGACGAGATGAATGACAGCGTCGTTGAAGTGAGGCCCCTCAAGGCTGGCAGCTGCTCCACTGGCTTCTGAATCCCTGTTTCATCAGCTTTTGGAAATCCTCCCTGAATGATAACAGTAAATATTTGTTTAATTAATAAATAAAGTTTTCATTCTAATCAATCAAGTAAGCCACAAAACTGTTTAAAGGAAGTTAAGCCTGCAGAGCTGAGTTACAAACTTTTCCTGTAAAGGGTCAGGTTATAAATCTCGGACTTGGCAGCCATCTACCCGCTATCTCTGACACATATTTTTCCTTTTCTTTCTCCTCTTTTTTTCTCCTCCCTTCCTTCCTCCCTCCCTCCTTTCTTCCCTCCCTCCCTCGCTCCTTTTCTCTCTCTCTTTCTTTCTTTCTTTCTTTCTTTCTTTCTTTCTTTCTTTCTTTTCTTTCTTTCTTTTTCTTTCTTTCTTTCTTCTTTTCTTTCTTTCTTTCTCTCTTTCTTTCTTTCTCTCTCTCTCTTTCTTTCTTTCTGTCTGTCTGTCTCTCTCTCTCTCTCTCTTTTCTTTCTTTATTTTTTCTTTTCTTTTTTGCCCAGCCCTTTAACAACATCAAAACCATTCTGAGCTCAGGAACAGGTAAAAGACAGATTGACCTGTGGGCTGTAGTTCCCTGACCCCTGCTTTAGAATACAGAGAAATAGTGATATTAAGACGAGCTCACACTTTTTGAGTTCTTGTTATATGCCATGCTCTTAATTTCTGTGCCTACCAAAAATTTATAATACTCTCTCTACAGAAATGTATGATAGCAGGCCTTGAAAGATAATCCTGTGGGTCTCTTAGGACCACCATAAGTGTACGTGAAAGTTCCATTTGCAGACCACCATCGAACAAAGTCTCCTGAGAACACACAAGGAGGAACGCAAAATTCACTCTTCTGACGGTGGGTCTATTATGCTTTGCCCGTCATTGAAATTCACTTATCAATATTTTTATTGCCTGTAGAAGTCAGAACAAACTCTCCTAGACCTGGAGGTTGAGAGGACATGATCTTTGTTGTGTTTCTGATATGGGCCAGGCCCTGTTCTGAGGGCAGAGAGCAAAGCTGTGAGTGCAGCGACTGCAGGTGTTGGTTCAAGAGCGCATGTGTGAGTGCAGGGACCACCGTTGTTGGTTCAGGAGTGCGTCCGTGAATTCAGAGACCGGAGCTGTTGGGCCAGGAATGCATCTGTGAAAGCAGGGACCACAGCTGTTGGTACGTGGGTGCTTCTATGTGTGTAATGTCTACAAATGTGAGTGCAGGGACCACCGTTGTGAGTGCAGAGTCTACAGCTGTGAGAGCAGAGACTACAGATGTGAGGGGTTTGCTATCACTGCAATTATATACAGTAAGATAAAACAGAAAATAAGCAAGTGAATACATATGCTTATTTCAGGTACTAACAAATGGTCAGAGATGATAGAGTCTTAGTGAGTATCTGGACAAGGGGAAAGAGGATGGGATTGAAGACCTCTGGAAAGAATGGATATGATGATAAGGGAAGAGCCTCTGGAAGGTGTGTGGCAAGAGCACTGAGGTGAAAAGAACAGTTTTGTGTATTGGTCTATTCCCCCCATCCCCTTCCACCTCTCCCCTCCACCAGGAGCTAGAATTCTACCCCAGGGCCGAGAATCCTGGAATCTGAGTTTCTGACACCCCAGTGCCCTGGAGGCAGGGCACATTCTGCTCCTGACACATGAAGGTGTCTTAGGCAAGCAGGTACAGTACAGATGAGTGTGTGGGCTTTGGCAAAGGTATGACTTGGCATTTCCTGTGCTGGCCGTGTGGTTTCTCTGCTCATTGGCAGAAAGTTCCTCCACTTTTCTGGTGCTCCTGATTCCCTGGTGAAGCTGACAGCAACCATCGGTTCCAGTCCTTTCATGTGTTCACATCACAGTCTCCAAATTAAATTCTTTTCTTCAAAAACAGTTTCTAGAGGGGCTTTTTTTTTCTATTTCAATCCTGACTGATACAACAAGTGCAAAGTCCTAAGGTGGGAATAGTTTTTTGTTTTTTTTTTGAGACAGGGTCTTCTTCTGTCTCATAGGCTGGAATGCAGAGGCACAATCATAGCTCACTGCAGCCTCCAACTCCTGGGCTCAAGCGATCCTCCCATCTCAGCCTCCCGAGTAGTTGGGACTATAGGTGACTGTAGCCACCATGCCTGGCTAATATTTTTTATTTTTGTAGAGACAAGGTCTCACTATGTTGCCCAAGCTGGTCTCAAACTCCTGGCTTCAAGTAATCTTTCCACTCTGGCCTCCCAAAGAGCTGGGATTACAGGTGTGAACCCCCTACTGCTGGCATGCCATACATTTATTGGAGCATGAGAAGGCTGGCCATGCTGGAGCAGGAAGAAAATGGTGAGGGAGTGGGAAAATTGAAACCAGAGGTCAATAAAAGCCACAACTCCACCTATGGCTGATGAAGGGCCACATAAGTCATCCTAAGGGGTTTGGATTTTCTTCTGGAGGTTCTGGAAATGCACCGGGGGCTGAAGGTGGGGGAGGGAATTGAACAGGAAAGGGGAGAAATGAGCAAGACTGGAAAGATGAAGCAGAACTAAGGAAGTATAAATAATTTATAATAAGGCCGGGGGTGGTGGCTCACGCCTGTAATCCCAGCACTTTGAGAGGCCGAGGCATGTGGATCACTTGAGGTCAGAAGTTCAAGACTAGCCTGGCCAACATGGTGAAACTCCATTTCTACTAAAAGTACAAAAATTAGCTGGACATGGTGGTACATACCTGTAATTCAGCTACTTGGGAGACTGAGGCAGGAGAGTCGCTTGAACTCAGGAGGTAGAGGTTGCAGTGAGTCAAGAGCGCACTACTGCACTCCAGACTGGGTGACAGAGCGAGACTCCGTCTCAAAATAATAATAATGCATAATAATAAAAATAATAAAGCTTACAATAACATGTTCTGGAAAAGAAAATAATGGCTAAAAGGTGACTTGGTAACCATCAGCCAACACTTGAAGGGCTATTTGATTTCTTATGTTTACTAGATGTTTTTGATCAAATCTGAAGATAAAGGAGGACCAGCTTCAACCTATAGAAGCATTCAGCTTAGTTACGTAGAAAAAAAACATTCCTTACTGCAGAAAGAGGTTCAATAATTCCTTCTCTTGAAACCCTGTCACCCAGCCTGGAGTGCAGTAGTACAATCACGGCTCACTGAAGCTTTGAATTCCTGGGCTCAAGCAATACTCCCACTTCACTTTCGTGAGTAGCTGGGACTCCAGAAGCACATCGCCACACCCAGCTAATTTTTTAATCTTTTGTAAAGACAGGGTCTCGCTTTGTCGCCCAGGCTGTTGAACTCCTGCCTTCAAGCAATCCTTTTGCTTCAGTTCTTGAGAATTTAAGGATAAGATAGACAACTGTTGAGTGTTCCTAGCATTTGGATACACATGATTATGGATAATTCAGTCTCATTTCTATATTCACAGTATGATAAATTGACCTTGATTATAATGCTATATGTTGATTACCCTCTATGTGTTCAGAAATTCTAGTTTCCTCAAAACACACACAGAATATGCAGTCTTCACGTTAAGAAAACATAAAGTTTGGAAATGATATATCTTATAATTTTGTCATAAGTACACTATGAACTGCATTAACAATGATGAGGTTATTCATCTATTTCCAGTAATAGAGTATTAAATAATCATTTACTGAACATGTGATACACCTGTGGCAGGAATGTGAGCAATGGAATCCATAGGCAGGAAATGATAAAGGGAACTAGGCAGCCACAACAGGCTGTAACAGCAACCCCGCCCACTGACTCAGGTACTAAGCTGGCCAGGTCCAGGTATCAGCCTCAGGATAATCACAGTGATGTCATAGAAGAAGCAGGATATGGGACATGATCTCCAATGCCCCTCATCTGTCAGCTGTGGGTCTAATATGGTTTGGGTCTGTGTCCCCAAATTTCCTGTTGAATTGTAATCCGTAATTTTGGAGGCGGGGCCTGGTAGGAGGTGATTGGCTTGTGGGAGCGGTTTCTCATGAATGGTTTAGTGCCATCCCACTAGTACTGTTCTTGTGACAGAGTTCTCAGGAGACCTGGCTGTTTAAAAGTCTCTCTTCCTTCTTCTCTGGCCACCTAAGATGAGCCTACTTACCCTTTGCCTTCTGCCGTAATTGTAAGTTTCCTGAGGCCTCCCCAGAAGCCAAGCAGATGCCGGAATCACACTTTCTATACAACCTGCAGAACTGTGAGAAAATTAAACCTCTTTTCTTTGTAAATTACCCAGCGTCTGGTATTTTTGTTTTTTCCTTTATTTTTTAAAATTGTATTTTATTCTATTTTATTTTGAGATGGTATCTCATTCTGTCACAAGATTGTAGTGCAGTGGCACAATCTTGGCTCACTGCAACCTCGTCCTCCTAGGTTCAAGTGATTCTCCTGCATCAGCCTCCCAAGTAGCTGGGATTACAGGTGCATGCCACCACACCCAGCTAATTTTTGTATTTTTAGTAGAGTCAGGGTTTCACCATTTTGGCCAGCTGATCTGGAACTCCTGATCTCAGGTGATGCTCCCACCTCCGCCTCCCAAAGTGCTGGGATTACAGGCATAAGCCACCACACCTGGCCCTTTTTTTTTTTTTTTTTTTTTTCAATAATAGGCAAGGAAGGCAGGCATTTCTTTGCAGCAGTGTGAGAATGGAATAATACATGGTCTCTCACCTGGAGTTGTGAAGGGTGGAACCTGAGGAAGAGATAGAGGATGTTTGCCTTTGGAGTGGAAGCCTGCAAAGCAAACTCAAAACTGGACCTCAGGTCCTGTGACCCAATAGAGCAAGAGGCCAAGGTACAGGAGAGAGGGCTGAGAAACAAAAAGTAGAACAAGCAAGATAGAAAGTGGGCTGGCACAATGCCACAGGTATAGGCGATGCCCTCTCTGGCTTCATGCAGGGGACGGACAGAGCCCGCTCCCTGGGGTCACCAAGACCTGGCCTAAAATCTCAGCTCTAAGTCACCGCTTGGGAAGCCTTGAGAAAAGCATTCAAACTCTTTGAGTCTCAGTATCTTCATTTTCAAGAAGGAATACTAGAAGTTTTCATTATCCAAGGATCATTGGTACAGGTTTAAAAAAAAAAACTTGAAGTGACTCTGAAGAGGAACTACAGTTTGAGATCAAATAATTTAGGAGTGTTTGGTTACAATCCTAGCTTTAAAAATGAAACTCACAATTATAAATAAAAATTATTTTGTTTCATAGTTGAGGAAAACGTAGGTTATAATTACAACAATGTACTGATTTTTAGAACAAAGAATGACTCAGATTTATTTGCAGGACACTGTCATATTTTTCCTAGCAGCATTCTCATGCTGGAGGGCTTCATCCATTTTCCTAAGGGTCTCTCCTAATGCTTTCACATGCAGAGAATTCTCTTTCCATGATGTGGCATCCTGGTGTCAATGTATTTCATACAAGAACAGATAGGGAATGAACAAATATAATTGTTTTCCATTTTAATTTACGTTTAACTTTACATAGGTTTTTAAAAATTACAGAAATCATTTTTATTCCTGGCAATATGGTAGATATCTTAAAAAGCCTTCCCTCTCCACAAAACAGTTAGAAATTCGAGATAAAATAGAACAAACGCCCCTTTAAGTGTAGAGCTGGCTCAGAATAAAGGCGGCTCCCAGAAGAAATGAAAAAGAGCCACAAACTAGATGCTGCAGCTGCCTTGGGCCGGGCAAGGGCAGAGCTGCAGCAGAGACATCTGCAGAAAGTGCCAAGCTGCAAAAGCCCCCGGAGCTTCAAGGGGGGGCTTGGAAAAAAATCCACATGACAAAGTGAGATATTCAGTATGTCTGCTGCAGCTTGCGGTGGTGGGGATATGGTAAATAAGTGCGAGATTTGCAGAAGAATGGTTTGGTGTGTATCTTTTCAGATACACACACACACACACAGCCATATGTGTTTATATGGTTCTACAACATTTTTCCTTTTCCTTTGTCTTTGAGATCTTTTGCACTATATGCATTTGTCTCATTTTTAAAAAATTTGTATAGCAACATGTATTATGGACATGATTTCATTTGAAATTACAGAAAAAAAAATGCTTATACTTTCAATTTTCCTTACTTTGCTGACATTTATGGGTGATTTTCTGTTTCCTACAATGAGCGTGGAAGCTTCAAGGGGGAGATATTTGTGTTGAGTTTTTTCACTGAGATATCCCATATGCTTAGAAAAGTGCTTATCATCTGGGCACAGTGGCTCATGCCTGTGATCCCAGCACTTTGGGAGGCCGAGGTGGGTGGATCATTTGAGGTCAGGAGTTCAAGAGCAGCCTGGCCAACATGGTGAAACCCCGTCTCTACTACAAATACAAAAATTAGCCAGGCATGGTGGCGTGTGCCTGGAGTCCCAGCTACTCTCCTCGGGAGGCTGAGGCAGGAGAACTGCTTGAACCTGGGAAGCAGAGGTTACAGTAAGCCGAGATCATACCACTGCACTCTAGCATGGGCAACAGAGTGAGACTGTCTCCAAAAAAAGAAAGGAAAGTGCTTATCACATAGTAGACTCTCAGTAAATATTTGCTGAATGAATTGAATGAATAAGCTATGCTTGAACCCATCCCCCCAATGACCTGTAAGTTTGTATGACTCTAAACAACATGGCAAACATTGTCATGCACTGCCACATGCACAAAACTGCAGTCAAACATCCAAGTCTACACAATGGTGGCCACTAGATGAAAAGCTGTATGGAAAATGACTTCTGCTGAGAAACAAGCAAGACAATTTGCTACTCCGCTCATGGTGATTTATTGCAGATACGTAATACATGACTATTGGAATTGCTACTCAGATGTCTTCCAGCAAGCTTTAATATTGCTCTGCTGCCGAGAGGGCCTGGGACTCCAAAACAGCCCCACATTCCCTTTCCTTTTGCTGTCGCCTTAATTCATGTTCTTCCCACAGAAGCATATTCCTTTTTCCTGTGGGATAAAGAAGGTAGAGAGGCCGGGAGCAGTGGCTCACGCCTGTAATCCCAGAACTTTGGGAGGCAGAGGCAGGTGGATCACTGGAGGTCAGGAGTTGAAACAACCAGACTAACACAGGTACACCCCGTTTTATTAAAAAAAATAAAAAAAAAAAAAAAAAAAAAAAGGAATGAAAAGAAATTTTACTGCTTAAAGTTGAGCCTATGGGCAGAGCTGAGCATTTTGAAGAGATGGGAAATAATAAATGCCAAGATTCATGTGAAATTCAGATGGAAGTCAGCATCCCATAAATTTAAATAAATGTTTATTTTCAGTCAGGCAATGAAATGTGGAGTGTGACATCAGATCAAAAGAATGACCACATAATGGAGACACAAGACCTGAAGGAGCTTTTGTTTGTTTGTTTTTTGTAAGCCATGAAGTGAGAGGGACCTGCACAAGCCAAATACCTGGAGGGGCTGCTTTGCACCTGCTGTGCATTTTCCTAATTCACCATGACTCCCCTTCCAATTTCACATTCAAGAACATTTCCCCAACAGTGTCCTACCTATAGCATCCCACGAACAATAAGAAGGAATGACCAGATATCTCATTTTAAAGAATGTGCTCTCTTTTATCTTAATATTGTTCTTCCTCAGGTGATTTGGGGAAGGAAAATAATCAGTTCCCCACACCACACAACCCCCCCACCCCACTTTTTTTTTGAGACAGTCTTGCTCTGTCGCCCAGGCTGGTGTGCAGTGGCGTCATCATCCCGGCTCACTGGAACCCCCGCCTCCCGAGTTCAAGCGATTCTCATGCTGAACATCCAAATTTTAAATAAAGTTATTTAAAGATGCCCAGGTAAGTTTTGTATTTTTAGTAGAGACTGAGTTTCACCATGTTGGCCAGCCTGGTCTCGAACTCCTGGCCTCAAGAGATCCACCCCCCTCGGCCTCACAAAGTTCTGAGATTATAGGCTTGAAACACCACCCCCGGCCTGTTCCCTCTTTCTAAGTGCAGTGGCACCTCCTTACAAAAGTTAGATTTGAAATGGTCCTACCCGGACCCTACCGCCTATCCAATGACTGAAGGGAAATAGCATCTCGGGGTTTCCCTCCTAGAAGGTGTGGTTTTTGAGCATCACAACTGACTTCCCTGCAGGAAGAACAGTTCCCCTGCTCCTTGGGCTATTGGGATTTCCTGTCCCCTGCCTAAGCCTTCAGTGATGCGAGTCCCCCAACACAAACATCTGAGAGCAGCTTTTGAGCCGCCTTCCTAACTGGCCTCATCTATCACAGGGCTCCTCCCTCCCCCTGTGTTCCGATGCCCTCCAATTTTGTTAGAACGTAGACATAGCCCTGTCATTTGCAGGACTGAGGTTTGAGTACAAAGGGAAGCCTACAGACCATATGTTCAAATATTTAAAAGTGATAGATCATGTTAACGACTTTTAAATAAAATGTATTCTATCCTTCCGCCTTGTCCAATATACCTTCATAACAAATGAAAAACAATGTGTAGGCCGGGCATGGTGGTTCATGCCTGTAATCCTGTCGCAGGCACTCGAACCAGAGCGACTCCACTTTAAGTGAGGGCTGGAAAATGAGGCTGGGACTTGCTGGGCTGATTCCCAGAAAGTTAGGCATTCCGGGCCTCTAGATGTTTACGGTTAAGGGAACAAATTAATAACGTTTACTCAACAGACCCAGACTTAGGAGTGTCCAGATATTCCAATATCTGGAGAACAAAGGCATTCCTAAGTTTGCTTTAAAGAAAAATATTGTAGATTCTTGCAAAATGTAGTAATTAAGAAAATTAGTTCTTTATCACAAACCCTTGTAGCAGAGCACATCTCCCCATATACATGAGTATTGTACCTAGGGTGGACGCATTCCTGCTCTTACTTTCAGGAACGTCCTGCTCTGTCTATGGGAGTAGCTGTTCTTTCACCACTTCACTCTCCTAATAACTTGTTTTTACATTGCATTGCGGACTCGTCCTGAATACTTTCTTGTGGGAAATCCAAGAACCTTCTCTTGGGGTCTGAATCGGGACCCCTTTCCTGTAACAATCCCAGCACTTTGGGGGGCCAAGGCGGGTGGATCGCTTGAGGTCAGGAGCTCGAGAGCAGCTTGACCAACATGACAAAACACCATCTCTACTAAAAATACGAACGTTAGCCAGGCGTGGTGGCGTGCGCCTGTAATCCCAGCTACTCGGGAGGCTGAGACAAGAGAATCGTTTGAACCCGGAAGGTGGAGGTTGCCGTGAGCCGAGATGGCGCCATTGCACTCCAACCTGGGTGACAGAGCAAGACTCCATCTCAAAAAAAAAAAAAAAAAAAAAAAAGGAATGAAAAGAAAAAGAAAAACAGCGTGTAAATCTGTGATTTTGGGCAAAATATCAAAGACAGCTGAATTTAATCACTATTATATTATGGCTAGATGTTCTGCTAATGGAGCAGGATGTTCAGACGAGTAATAAAATAGAAATATCCATAATTCATAAATCGTTTGTTTCAGAATATTTTTCTTACCTTCATTTCAGCAAAATTCTTAAATATTTATAAAGAATTTAAAAATAATCTGTATTCTATTGGCAGTGATTTAAAAGATTAAAAACAAAATGTAACAGTATTCTAACTATAAAATTTGAATATATTCCACCCGTTTGAGACATCAGCGTGTACCGATAACGTTCGTTGAGTGTTTAACATATGGTAGGCACATGCTAAAGTGTTTTCCTTGCATTAGTGTATCTAATCTTCATAATTATGAAATGGGTGCCATTGTTATCTCCATCTTATAGATGAGGCAACTGAGGTTCAGGGATAAAGTCATAAAATTGCCTGTGGTCGCCTTCCCAAAAATCTGAATATATTTTTATTAAGAGAACAAAATAAAGGAAGTTAAAAGTAACAAAATTAAAAGTATTTTTCACATCCTTAGGAGTTAACTTTCTTTAAAAAGAGTCTTCAAAAAATTTTTAAACTTCTTGAAATTTAAAGACATAATTAAAAAGCAAAATTCAAATTATAAAAAATGAACATCCAAATTTTAAATAAAGTTATTTAAAGGGCACTGCAATATTTATGGACTCTTTAAACATGTAAGTGCATTTAAGAAAGTATATTATGAAAGTAAAATTATTCACAAGGCTAGTGTTTCATGTCCATTTATTGCCAACATAAAGAATCAGCCTATTTCATGTATGCTGTATTTAGACCTACATGTAAACAAACCTAAGAAAAATACGAATTGTTTCATGGTGCAAACATTGCTCAGTGACGGCGTGCAATTTTTGTAAACATCACACTAGCACGTCAGTACGTCCAACAATGGGGCAGAACACCATGAGCAAGAAACTGGATTCTTGCCACTACTTACCGGAAATACTTTATTACACAAGAATATTGCTTAGTCATGCCGAGAAGAAGGATTTGACAAGTTAACCCATCTTTTCTCTCACTTAGGTGTTTTCCAACAAACTCTCATCACACTTTGAAGGAATCAATCCACAAACCTCTATGGCATGGAGAAGCTGGCAGCCCCTGTTTTGAGGACATGGGGCAAGAGACATGAAGAAGCAGGTCCCTGAGCGGTACGAGTCCCAGCTGCACATATTTAGGCTTCTGGGCTGAGCTCTGGGTCCTAAGTGGCGGGGTTGGGTCAGGGCTTGCATTTTTTACATAGATTTATTTTTTTGTACTCTTATGATACATGGGATCCTAAAGTGCAGGGCCCAGGGCTGGCCCTAGATCTTCCTTAGATCTGAGGTTGGTACTGGGTGCATGGAAAACTCCTGTGATGATGATGATTATTATATTTGAGACAACGTCTCACTGTGTCGCCCAGGCTGGAGTGCAGTGGTGCGATCTCGGCTCACTGCAGCCTCTGCCTCCTGGGTTCAAGCGATTCTCCTGCCTCAGCCTCCTGAGTAGCTGGGACTACAAGCACACGCCACCACACCCAGCTAATTTTTTGTATTTTTAGTAGAGACAGGGTTTCACCATGTTAGCCAGGATGGTCTTGATCTCCTGACCTCATGATCCACCCACCTCGGTCTCCCAAAGTGTTGGGATTACAGGCGTGAGCCACCGTGTCTGGCCACTCCTGTGACTGTTGAAGTATCACTAACCGTGGAGACCTCCTCTGTGAAGGAGGGCCCGTGGCACCTGGGCCACAGCTCTAAGATAGGGCTCAACGCATGACATTGAAACTACTTGTTCCTCCTACTTGATTTTACTTGATGACCCTGTCTGAAATTCCTGATGCTTTTACTCAAATGCAGTCTCCTTGAGGACCTCCAGCTTACAAACAAGATTTACCTGTATTTCACTCTCTGTCATATTTCAAAGGGAATACATGCTTAATTCAAAAGTATGATGTTGAATAGGTTTTTCTGACTCCTCCTGCCATCCTGTTTATGTGCCACAATGGAGAGCCACTATGCTACACAGGGAGGGGCAGTGGTTCACATGACTGTGGGATGCACAGGCCCAAGGGCAGGCCCGTCTCGGCACACTCATTTACGCATGGAGATTCTCACAGGGCTTGCAGTGCGCCGACTGCTTCAGGTCTCATCCCTGTGACCCAAAGTCTTCAATTCTGAAGATCCTTTGCCAATTTTTAAGCTGACTCTCACTCTACCTCTTCTTTGCAAAATCTGAGGATTAACCAGGGACAACAGGGAGCCTAAAGCAGGAAGGGAAGGCCCCACAGACCCTTCTCCTTGAATCTGGCAAATGGGGGATTTTGGAAATGTTCTTTTGGGGCCTCTAATGGGTAGAGACATCCGCTTCCGAAGGTATTTCTTTGCACCATATCTTAAAGGATAAGCAATGACACTGAATAAAAATGGGAAAGGGTAGAGGTTGCAATTCTAACAATGATTACAATTCATCTCAAGGCTTCAGAGCTGGACTTTTATTGGTTGTGCAGGAAGTAAATATGATAGCAAAGTATCTCATATTCTTATAGGTCCATTGTAAATGTCTTTAAAGCAAATGAAATCAGAACAAAAATAAGCTATTTATGAGGTCAAAAGTTCCTCAGAAAGAAGTAAAGCACAGGTGTTATAAAATTCTCCCGAGGGAATTGAGATAACAGCAAGGAAGTAGCCACGTGCTTGGGTCAAGTCCAAGCCAGAGATGGTATATAAAGGCTTCCCCAGCAGAAGGAGGCATCAGACTCCCCTCGGGTCTCCTGAGTCTTCCCTCCTCACTTCACTGGAGTCCTCTCTACTGACACCATGGGTTGCTGTGGTTGTGGTGGCTGCAGTGGTGGCTGCAGTGGTGACTGTGGTGGCGGCTGTGGTGGTGGCTGTGGTGGCTGCGGTGGCTGCGGTGGTGGCTGCGGTGGTGGCTGTGGCGGTGGCTGCGGTGGTGGCTGTAGTGGTGGCTGTGGTGGTGGCTGTGGCAGCTGCACCACCTGCAGGTGCTACCGGGTGGGCTGCTGCTCCAGCTGTTGCCCCTGCTGCCGTGGCTGCTGTGGGGGCTGCTGTAGCACGCCCGTGATCTGCTGCTGCCACCGCACCTGCAGCTCATGTGGCTGTGGCTGTGGGAAGGGCTGTTGCCAGCAGAAGGGCTGTTGCCAGAAGCAATGCTGCTGCGAGGCGGGCCCCCGGCCTCTGGGCAGGTGCTCATTCCTGTGCTTGGATTTGTGGACTTTGTGTGCTTTCATCTCCTCTGGTTCACCTAAATATTGAGTCGTGTTGGCCAGGCGTGGTGGCTCACACCTGTAATCCCAGCACTTTGAGAGGCCGAAGGGGTGGATCACTTGAGGTCAGAAGTTGAAGACCAGCCTGGCCAAAATGGTGAAACCCCGTCTCTACTAAAAGTACTAAAATTGACTGGGCATGATGGTGAGTGCCTGTAGTCCCAGCTACTTGGGAGGCTGAGGCAGGAGAATCGCTTGAACCCAGGAAGCGGAGGTTGCAATGAGCTGAGATCTTGCCATTGCACTCCATCCTGGGCAACAAGAGTGAAACTCCATCTCAAAGAAAAAAAATATATATATATATATATAGAGAGAGAGAGAGTAAATATAATATATATGCGTACATGGCTCTCTTGCTCTCTCTAAGGAGAGAGAGAGCGAGAGAGCGAGACAGCCATGTGATTTAACATAAATACACCTGATTAGAAGTTAGAAGCCCAAATTCAAGTCCATGCTCTGCCACAGCGGTCAGCCACACACGAGTCAGGCAGCCTCCCAGAGTATTGCTTATTCACCTATAAAATAGTAAGTTTGAACTAAGAATGAGTAAGGAACTTTTCAGTTTTAACAACATGTGAGTCTACTGAGATCTATCGAGTTCACAGAACTACACTCACAGGCTCTCCAGCCCCACGCTCTGAAGATTTCTCTTACATATCTTATGCTTTTAAATATATACACCTTTGCTATAGTGGGCATTAAAATTTGTTAACACAAAAAACAATCACCTTTAATCTAATATGATTCATCAGTTATAATCCACACTGCAACAAAAACAGGCCATAGCTTACCTGATGAAAGTTCGACAGTTTACGTTAATGAGCTCAGCCGGGATGAAATAATGATTACTAATATATTCCATTCTTTTGAAACATTTACTGTCTGTGGAAATTCTGTACTTATATACCTGCTTATATTCGTTGTATACTATACATTGGTTATAGCTTCTAGTGTTCCCTTATCTTCCTAAATATAATTTAAAAGAAACACTAGAAAAATCTTGTATTTCACTGTGTTTGTTTTGATTTGTTTTTGTCGTTTTTGAAGGAGGGGTGAGTGTGATGAAGCTGATGTTTGGCAACACATGTTGCAAACTTTCGAAGGTTGTAAGATGAAAGAGAAGGGATACTCTGAATTTATTAGGGTAATGTTAGCTACAACAAAGCTTTTCTTATTGATGTCAACTGATCCTGAGCAGTTTTAGGTGGGCAGGAGGGGATGAGGATTCGGGAAGCTATTCTTCACTCAGTCATTTAGGGATCTAGGTTGAAGAAAGCACTGACATTTTCAAGATATGGCTTCTAAGATGGCTTAGTGGTCCTCAGTTTATAGGTAGAAAAGAATAGATAGCCCATCGCTTCTTAAGTGCTGTGGCTTGACAGTGACACAGCTTGTCATTGATGGGAAGTAACCACATGGTCCTGGCCAGGGTCGGTGACTCGTGCCTGTAATCCCAGCACTTTGGGAGGCTGAGGTGGGTGGATCACCTGAGGTCAGGAGTTCGAGCCCAGCTTGGCCAACATGGAGAAACCCCATCTCTACTAAAAAATGAAAAGAAATTACCTGCGCATGGTGGCACGTGCCTGCAAGCCCAGCTACTCGGGAGGCTGAGGCAGGAGAACCGCTTGAACCTGGGAAGCAGAGGTCAAGATTGTGCAGTGAGTCGAGATTGTGCCACTGCACTCCAGCCTGGGCAACAGAGTGAGACTCTGTCTCAAAAAAAAAGGAAATAATCACATGGTCCTATCCAGTCCATAGCTAGACTGACACTTCCCAGCAACAACCTTGTCATATGAAAGAGAAAAGCATACATTTCTCATGGACAGTTAGCTGTGTCTACCATATAAAGCTCATGTTCTAGTAAAACTCCTAGCTGACTTGACTGCAGTGTGTTTAGCAGGGGATACCCTGAGGTAACTGGTGGGTGTTTAATTCCCATTTGTATCACATGAATTTCTCCTGGAGTAGTGAAACTGGTCCCTGCGGCAGATCATTCTTCAAAGAAAAGTTTTTCTTTTTTTTTTTCTTTTTTGAGATGGCGTCTCACTCTGTCACCCAGGTTGGAGTGCAGTAGTGTGATTACAGCTCACTGCAACCTCCACTTCCCAGGCTCAAGCAATCCTCCCACCTCAGCCTCTCGAGTAGCTGGGACCACAGGTGTGTGCTACTATGCTTGGCTAATTTTTTGTATTTTTTTTTTGTAGAAACAGGGTCTCACCACATTGCCCAGGCTAGTCTCGAACTCCTGGGCTCAAGCGATTCACCTGCCTGGGCCTTCCAAAGTGCTGAGATTACAGGCGTGAGCCACCGTGCCAAGCACAAGTTTTTCTAATACTGTTAACACTGTTCTCATTTGAATTAATCAGGTAGTTTTAATTTGTTTTTTAAAATGTTATATGTCATTCTAGAGTTATAAGCACAAAAACATCATTCAGATTATTGAAAAAGGATCTAGATATTCTAGAGAAAGTTTTCTCCATACCATTTAAATGAGATCATAGTGATGGCTATGGTGAACTCTTGCTCAACAGCCATTTCTATGTCCCTTTAGTATTTGCTGTTTTTCTGTACAGCAGAGGCTGAGATGATTAGAAATTACATTGCACAGAATCCTCTGCATCTGGGATCTGGATATTGCAAGAATTAGATCAACCTCTGAGGGGTATAAAAGGCAGAAACGCGGTGAAGGTCATTTTCCTCCACCTTCTATCTGTTGCTGCTGATAAGGAAGATTGGGGTGGAGGAGTTGAGTTTTCTGCACTGCAGCAATATTCCTGGGTCCAGATAGTGTCATACAAGTTAATAAGCAGTTGCAGAGGCAGCTGTAGTCAGCGGGGCACCCACCATTCCTCCCGGCTAATTTTTGTATTAGCTGGGCGTGGTGGCGG